CCCCAAATTCACCCCAAAAATCTCCCTTCAATTCACCCCAAAATCAACAGAAAATGACCCCAAAAATTCCCCCAAAAATTCCCCTCAGAATTCCCCAAAATCCCCCCAAAAATCCCCCCAACCCCAAAATCCCCCCGGGGGGGGGTCAGGGCTCACCTGGGATTTTTGGGGGGGCCCCTCGGTCCCCGTAACCTGGGGGGGATGGGCAGGGTCAGTGGGCTCGTTTTGGGGATCCCCCCAATTTTTGGGGGATTTCCCCCCAATTTTGGGGTCTCCCCTCCCCCATTTTTGGGTTTTTTCCCCCAATTTTGGGGTCTGCCCCCCCCATTTTTGGGGTTTTTCCCCCCAATTTTGGGGTTCCCCCCCATTTTTGGGTCATTTTTGGGTTTTCCCCCCCAATTTTGGGGTCTCCCCCCCATTTCTGGGTCATTTTTGGGCTTTTCCCCCCAATTTTGGGGTCTCCCCCCCCTTTCTGGGTCATTTTTGGGCTTTTCCCCCCAATTTTGGGGTTTTTTCCCCCAATTTTGGGGTCTCCCCTCCCCCATTTTTGGCTCATTTTTGGGTTTTTTCCCCCCAATTTTGGGGTTTCCCCCCATTTTTGGGTAATTTTTTGGGTTTTTCTCCCCAATTTTTGGGTCTCCCCTCCCCCATTTTTGGCTCATTTTTGGGTTTTTTCCCCCCAATTTTGGGGTTTCCCCCCACTCCCAACAATTTTTGGGTCATTTTTTGGGGTTTCCCCCCCCAATTTTGGGGTCTCCCCCGCCCCCCATTTTTGGGTCTTTTTTTGGTTTTTTTTCCCCCCAATTTTGGGGTTCTCCTCCCAATTTTTGGGCCATTTTTGGGGTTTTCCCCCCAGTTTTGGGGGATTTTTTTTCGGATTTTTTCCCCCCCTCCCCCCATTTTTGGGACCCCAATAAAAAATAAAAAAAAATTTGGAAAAAAAAAAAAAAGTTCCCAAAATTCCCCGAATTCAGCCCAAAATCGCAAGAATTCGACCCCAAAATTTGCTGAACTCACCCCAAAATCTGGGAATTAACACCAAAATTCCCTGAATTCAACCCCAAAATCTTGGGATTTTACCCCAAAATCCTGGAGTTCGTCCCAAAATCTGGGAATTCACACTGAAAGTCCAGAATTCACCCCAAAATCTGCATAATTCACCCCAAAATCCCAGGAATTCACCCCAAAACCCCAGGAATTCACCCCAAAATCCCGGGAATTCACCTCAAAATCCAGGGAATTCACCCCCAAAATCCCCCCAAAAATCCCCCCAAAATCCAGGGAGTTCTCCCCAAAATCCTGGAGCCCCAAAATCCCGGGAATTCCCCCCAAAATCTGGGAATTTCCCCTCCCCCATTTC